GCCCAGTTGCCGAGTGTCATAGGGTTGCCAGGTATCCATATTTTCGCCTCCTGTCTGGGGAAAATAATCAGAAAATACCAGACGTTTTAGGTATTTGGTATTTTTCCAAATTTTTTTACTGGACAGGTGAAAATACTAGACTGTCCGGGTCAATACCAGACACCCAGCAACCCTATCAATAGTAGTTTGGCCTGAGTAAGACTTGAGATTTCGGTCAATTCTAGCTTTGTTTCTCTTAGTGTAAAGACCCTGTGTAACTGCCTGCAGGTGGATTCAAACCTGGGACCTCTGTAGCAGGGGTCAGCAACCTCTGGCATGCATGCCTTAAGTGTAAAGTGAACTGATTTTCAGTGGCACATGGGGCAGGAGCTCAGCCCTGTTCTTCACCCGCCCATGCAACAGGGATCCCATGCTGAGGCTCAAGCCTCAGGATTGCCACTCAGCTGCAGGCTGAAGCACCAGCTCTGGCTTCCTGCTGGGAGGGAGGGCAGGAGAGGCACATGTGCACCATGGTGTAGGACAGGGGTGGGCAAAAGGGCTTCTGCAGGCCAGATCCAGCCCGCCAAGAGAGTGGATCTGGCCCATGGAGGCCCTGCTGCTCCCCTGCCCTCAGGCCAATTAAGGCCTGGGGGCAGGGGAACACCCGAAACCACCTCCACTCTGCCCCTGCCCTGTGAGCAGCACACGGCACTTCAAAGCGTCGGACGCTGCTCACAGGGTGGAGGCAGAGTGGAGAAGGTTTCGTGCATTCTTCCCACCCTTCCAGGAGCACATTGCACGGGGGCGGGGGGGGGGGGGGGGGGAGGAAGAGCAGAGGAGGCTTTGCGCGTTCCCCCGCCCCAGGCCAATCAAGGCTTGGGGAACTGCGTGAGCCTTCCTTCACCCTGCCCTGCGAGAAGCCAGGCAGCACTTCAAAGTACCACGTGCTCCTCAGAGGGCGGGGAGGAGGCTTCCCGCGCTCCCCCACCTCCAGGTCCTAATTGGCCTGGGGGTGGGGGAGTGTGCCAAGCCTCTTTCAGGGCATGGGTACCTAGTAGGAAGCGGGGGAAAAGGGGCTCCCCCACCCCCAGACCAATTATAGTCTGGGGGTAGAGTAGCCCTGCCCCTTCCCATTTAGTCCCTGCTCCTTCCTGTTTAGGCTTCGCCCCTTCCAGGGTGGCCGGGGGCTACTTCACAAATTTTTGATGTGGCCCCCAGGCAAAAAATATTGCCCACCCCTGGTGTAGGAGCTGGGACAGCCTGGCAAGATTCTGTGTTGAGCTCCACGTCTCTGGAGCTACCCCTGTCTGGCCTGGGCATGTAGTTCCCAGGATCTAAAGGGTTAACACCGCACCTCCCATGCTACAGATTCTGCCTCCTGCTCTGGAAGAGGGAGGGGCTAGAGCTGCTCTGCAGATCAGGGCTGTGTGGCTGGTCACACTTGGGGTGCCGCTGGGGCCCAAGCTGCACCACACTGCTCCCCATGAGGTGTCTGCAGGGACAGGGAGCCCCTTCCCCAGAACCCCACTGCGCCCAGCCAGGCTGGAACCAGCCACAGAGCTGCAGGCTGCGGGTGAGGAGCAAGCCCCGGGCTAAGGGCTTGGCCAGGCAGGGAAGTGACTATGTTCCCCCCCACCCCTCCTCACATCTTGGGGCAGGCGGGAGGGAGGGAAATAAGAGTCCCAGCACTGCTGCCCTGCCAGTCTGTGTGCTGAGGGGAACAGGGATGTGGGGGCAGGAGAGGAGTGAACGAGGATGTGGGGGAAGGCTCGGAGGCAGGGATTGCACTGTGGGGGGATGGGGAATGAGGGGGAATAGAGACTGGAGCAGAGGGAAGATGTGAGGGAGGGATACAAGTTCCCTTTGCAGAAGCTGCATTTTCCTTTACTCCCCACTCTTTTGCCTCCCTTCCCCCATCACAGCCTGATCATCTTTAAAATAAAAAAAATAAATGGAGATATACCTATCTCATAGAACTGGAAGGGAGCTTGAGGGGACATTAGGTCCAGTCCCCTGCCCTCACAGCAGGACTAACTGCCCTCCCTGACAGGTTTGCCCCAGATTGCTAAATGACCCCCTAAAGGACTGAACTCTCAACACTGGGTTTAGCAGGCCAATGCTCAAACCACTGAGCTCTCTCTCCCCCCACCTAGCTTATCATTCTGTGTGTATGACAATTTCAGCCCATTTGTACAGGCGCTGCTGGAAAGCTGGCAGGTCTGCACATTGTTCAATAATCTGTAGCTTCCTTGGCATTAGACCAGGGACATTTGCTCCCCTCCAGGTCTCTAGCAGAGTAGCTGCTTTTAATGCCAGTGCATATTTCTGCTGGCAGCTCAGACCCTCAGTTGTTATTTCCCTCAGCGCTCTGAGCTGTGTCTGTCTGGGGCTTGTTGCTTTTCCATTGATCAATCTCCTCCAGCCCCTGTTCTGACCCCTCAATTACTGACACTACCTCACTGGGATTGCCAGAAAACAAGCCGAGCTGAGGGAGACCTCTCCCCTCCATGATATTGAATACTTGTTAGCTTAGGATTTTTAAACTAAATAGCTGCTTCAGCAACTACATATAAAAGTGAACCAGTGTTCTTTTACTTAGTTTCAGAGCCATATAATTGCTATAGGAACCACAAATCTCCCATCATAACCCAGAAAGGCACCAGTGTTCATTCCCCTTCCACAGATGGGAGCACAATAGTCAGCCAGCCACAAGGGTTTTGATGTCCAGCTATTTGGCTGGATTCTCACCTTTTCAGCTATTCCCCAACTCCCTCCTGCTCCCAAACTCCTTCTTGTACCCCCACCCCATATACTCTCCTGCCACCAAACTTCCTTCCAGACCCTGCCCTCCTCACCCCATCCTGCACCCCTCCTCCCGCCCAGATCCTGAACCCCAATCTCTATCCCACTCGCTGGCAGCCCTGTCCCACACATCAACCCTGCATATTTTTGTTCCCACCCCAGAGTCTAAGGGGGTCCCCAAAATCCACTAACAAAAAAGTAAATCTGGCCTATGAGAAGCTCTGAACCTCAGTCCTCTCTGTCCCTTCCCCTCATCCCCTAGGGTTGGAGCACCAGAAGAGTGAGGTGTGTCAGTTGGGAGCCACATCAGTGAGGTTCGGGGATTTTTTGGAGGAGGTTTTTTTTTTTTTTCCTTTTCCTTCTCACTTGTGTGGTCCCCAACTGACTTTTCTGTGGGTCAGTAACTCCTGACCCAAAAAAAGTTCCCCAACCCTGCCATAAATAAAGAAAACATGGGAACCTTTTGTGTTGAACATAAATTAATATTTTCTTTATTTAAAAATGAAGTTTGATAAACTAACATGAGAAAGTTAAAATGCTTAATCTGTTTAATAATTTAAATTAAACTGTTCTTCCTAGTTGCAGCACTAGCAAAATGGCTCAGGTATAATTATGTTATTAATGGTGAGTGTCCATTAACAATTGGTGGAAAGGTTTGCATTGAGCCACGTGGTCCACAGGCCAAAAAGTTTGAGAAGCACTGCACTAAATAGAGCTTCTCAATGCTTGAAACAGAGCAGCTCACAGAGCAGGTAATATAAAGCAAGATAAGTGGCTAGGCAGGGGGAAGAGGAGTGGGTGAGTGAGTAATTGGGTGTGGCTGTCAAAGGGGAGGGGAATTTGGAGAATCCCTTGTCCACAGGAGAGAGGGGCAGAAATGCAGCACTCTCAAGTCCCCTGGGAAGGAGAAGGTAAGGGACTGACTGCATGGGATAGGTGGGGTGGGTGCTGGCATTGGGTGATGTGGAGGCAGGGAGGTAGTTTGTATGTGCTGTGAGGTGAGGGAGGAGTGGATAATTTGTTTGTGCTTTAGCTGGGAGTTAGGACAGGATAGATCGCTGGTGCCTGCTCCTTTGAGAAGCAGGATTTTATCCCAGCCCCTACCTGGCTGGGGAGTGGAGGGAAGCAGATTGCACACAGGTAGGTGGGGGAAAGAGGGGATGGGTGCGTGCTGGCATCTATACAGTGAGGTGAAGCAGGGGACAGTTTATTTGGGGTGTCTAACTCATTTGTTGCAATTGAGATTGCAGTCCTCTCTGTCTGTCTGGGTTAGAGCACGGGAGGAAAGCAGGCTGCATGGGGGGCGGGGGTGTATGCTAGGCGAACATTTGCATGATTACATTTCAAACAAAGTTTACATAGGTGTTAATGGCTTAAGGTAAGAACAAAAAACAATTCTTTTAACAGAATTTTTTTGGAGTGTTGTGGATATCTAAAACTCTGATCTTAATGATTTTTTAAAATCCTGTGTTACTAAAACAGTAAGATCTGCATCTTTATTTTTAATGAAGCTGCTGTAAATAGGACTATTATTTACTTTAAAAAGTATCAATGGCACACAGACCCATAAACAGAAGTGAATAAGTAATATCACAGCACGCCTCTACTGAAAGGTTGCTGACTCCTGCTATAGAGTAAGAATGACAATGAGTATGTGATAGGATGTAGTAAAGTATATTTGTTGAAGGTTGTAAACTTCTTGGTTTTTCAAGTGAGGAGCAAAACCCTCTGTTTGTACTGTTTTGAAGTGTACCAAATAAGTAGAAAGAAAAACACCGGTGTGAGGCCCTACGCGGGGTGGAAAGCAAGCATTAACATAACACAATAGTTAAGAAAAAGAAAGGAAAAAGCACACAATATATATATTGTGATCAAACCAACAACAGTCAGGACAATCTATGTAAGCAAATATGAAATTACCCAAATTAGAATCTGATCACAACAGAAGGATTAAAACCCTTATTCTCTTGCAACAGAACTTGAGTAAGCTCTTTATCACAAATGACCAAGCCCTTGCCCTTATTTATATTCAAAATAGAATACCTCCAGCAGCACAGGATTTCTGGTACATTTATTCTGTATAGACTTAGCAGAAAAGAGTCAGCTACTGAATTGTCAATAGAAGTTCATTTTGATCTTGAATAGATGGCTGGAATAGGAATAAGGTTCTGTAAATAGAACTGATAATTGGAAAGTAGCAATTCTACAAATGCATTTACCTGACTGTTGTTGGTTTGATCTGACTTGTCATATACGGAGATGCATTCCATTAATTTTCCATTCTGCTGACAGTCCAGATGCACCAGATCTCGGCAGTGAACGTGGCATGTATATCTGCAATCTGAAACACATATATAAAGAGAAGATATTTAGGGAACAATTCACTGTTGCTTTGAGTATAACATAAATCACTTTATGCAAATTAGAGTCCAAGTGCAAATAGATCTCTTTCAAAAATGGCACGTTTTACTGTAATATATGCTATAATTTAAAAAAATCCCTCCCACAAAGCAAGCTGCAAAGTGAAATTCATAAGCTGTTCAAACAGTTTATGTTTAGACAATTTATGAATTTCAGGAACTATTTAGTATACACGTGAGAAGCAGTGTGGTTCTGTGGATAGAAGATAACCCAAGTCTTAGAATCAGCAATAGGTAACAGATCTCGACACTCATTTCCTGCCTGACGTCAGGCAAATTAGAATAATAGAATATTAAAACTGGAAGAGACCTCTAGAGATCAAGTTCAATCCCTGGCCCTCACAGCAGGACCAAGTACAGTCTATATCACCCCTGATACATGTCTGTCTAACCTGCTCTTCAATATCTCCAGTGATAGAGATTCTACAATCTCCCTATGCACTTTATTCCAGCGTTTAACCACCATTATTTAATTTATGTTTCAGTTTCCTCATCCGTAAAATGTGGCTAAAAGTAATTCGCCTTTCTAAAGAGAATTGGTCTGCAAATGGTGTGTGCTGGGTATTATTAACTATTGTTATTTAAATTCCAGAGAGGATATCCAAAGCAGAACAGGGGATTTTGTCAAGTTTCCTGCATTCTTTCTCTGGTATTGCCAGTGACATGCTGTATGATCGTGGGCAAGTCATTTAAATTCAGTTTACTAGTCTGTTAAATAGACATAACACTTAGGATTTTTCAGATAAAAAGTTCAGATAAAAGATTTTTTAGATGACCCCAGCTTTAGTGCCCTTTAGGAATAAATTAATTAACTCTGACAGCTTGATAACAACACACATCAAGTCACAGGTACTCTATGTGGTAAAGTATTACTGCATCCAAAACCTGCATTTGGGAGTAATGCATAAAATTCACTTCCTGGCTCACAACAATCAGCTGTGATGACTATTGGATATTTAGATTAATAGCAATAGGTATGTAGAATATAATTCTATTTTGATAAAAAAAACTCACCGATTTTTCAGTTTTCTGCATTCAAATCTATATTTACTTTTACATAATTTGAAAAACACCCAGAAACATTACTGGATTAGCTGTTTTTATATCTATCAAAAAACTGGCAAAGCTGGTAGTGCCAACCATAGGCACACCCCAAAGTTTCAAAGGGGGCGTGAGCGAAGGAGCGCCGCTTCGGCGCGCTGGGGAACGGACGCCGCGCTGGGTTTGCCGCGCATGCAAAGCCAAAACCGGTGGGTCTTAGGACCCCACGGAAAGAGGCGGCAGGGTCACAGCAACGTCACCCAGCCGCCCCATCAAGCAAGGTGAGTTTAAACCCCGGGCGGGAAGGCGGGGTGCAGCGCGGCTGGCCCCGGGGAGGGAGGGGCCAGAGGCAGCGGCAGTGCAGCTGGGCTCGGGGTTGGGGGCAGCGCGGCTGGCCTCGGAGGGGGAGGGGGACCCAGGGCCGGGGCTGGGGGCAGTGTGGCTGGCCTGGGAGAGGGAGGGGCCGGGGCCAAGG